ATTAGAATGATGTGTCTACAAGTCAGAGAACACCAAGGACTATCACAATCTTCGGAACAGAAGACAAGCATGGAATGGATACTCCCTTGGAGCCTGGGAAGAACCAAGCCTACTGACATGACACCTTGATTTCAGTCATCTTGCTTCCAGAACTGTTGGGCAATAATGTCCTAATGTTTTAAGACAGTAAGTTTGTGGCAATTTGTTACAACGCACTACAAACTAATACAAAAGTTCTTACTTTTTTCTTCCTTACAGTCTTTTTCATACACAAAAGCAACACATGCTTACTATAGGAGAAAAAAATATGAAGGTGACATGAGGAAAGAACGAGTTTCCTTACTCTTTTAAAGTAATTGCCACTAACATCCTGGTGTTTTTAGTATTTTTCTATACTCATGAAAATACAGTAATAATAATATATGTGTGTATATATGTGGGCATATACATATAATTTTAGCAAACAACACTATACTATAAAATGTTCTGCAACTTTCTCATTTTCAACTTCTAGCAAAATCTTTTTCAGATGGGGGCATATAAAACTATATCTTTTCTTTCTTTAGTGGTTGCACTATATTCCATTGTATAGCTTTATCAAATGTATTAACCAACTTCTTGATTAATGGAAATATTAATTTTTTATCTGTTGCTATTTTGAAAGTTGATATTTCAAAAATAATAAGTGTTTTTTACTAATCCTTGTCCACATAAACTAGAAAGTATATATTTTCCTAGAAAACTAATCAGAAATGACTGTGAATATTTTAATTTTAATATAGTGTCAATTTAAGTATTCTAATTTTGATACAGTGTTATCAATTTCTGTTTTTAAAAAGTGTCTTATTGCCAGCTCCCTGGCTCATGACTATAATCCCAGTAGCTAGGGAGATTTAGGCAGGAGGATTGCAAATTCAAAGCCAGGTTTGGCAACCTGAGCAACTCAGTGAGGTCCTGTCTCAAAATAAAAAATAAACCTATAATCCCAATGGCTTGAGAGGCTGAGGAAAGAGGATTGCAAGTTCAAAGCCAGCCTCAGCAACTCAGTAAGGCCCTAAACAATTTAGTGAAACCCTGTCCCTAAATAAAACATGAAAAAGGGCCCAATGGTTAAGTGCCCCTGAGTTCAATTCCCAATACCAAACAAACCAACTAACTGGCTGGGGGGGTTGAGTACCCAAGGGTTCAATCTCCAGTACCAAAAAAAAAAAAAAAAAAGCCAGTCCTGATGGCACATGCCTGTAATCCCAATGACTTAGGATACTGAGACAGCATCAACCCAAGTTCAACATCAGCCTTTCAGCAACTTAATGAAAACCTGTTTGTATGGGGATACAAAGAGGGCATGGGAGGTACCAGGGATTGTAGCTCAAGGGTAAAGCATTCCCAGATTCTATCACCTTTAAAAGTACTGCAAAAATTTTTAAAATTGAACAATTAAAGTTTTTTACTTATATTTCCAGAAACTAAATATAGTCATACTTCTTTAAGCCTTCACTGTTACTGGGGATTAGCAATATATTTTATCCTTGCCAATCTTTTCTTTTTTTGGGGCACCAGATATTGAATCCAGAGGGACTTAAACACTAAGCCTCATCCCTAACACTTTTTATTTCAGTTTTTTATTTGGAGATATGGTCTCACTAAGCTGCTTAGGGCCTCACTAAGTTTCTGAGGCTGGCTTTGAGCTTGTGATACTGCTGCCTCAGCCTCCCAAATTGCTGCTTTTACAGGCATGCACCACCATGCCCAGCTTCCTTGCTGATCTTATAGGCGGGGGAAAAACCTGACTGTTTAATGTACATTGGTCATTTATATTTATTCTTATGGAATGTATCTTCTATTATATATGACCTATTAAAAAGAATATATAAAATGTCTTAAGACCATCTCCTCTACTTTAATGAGCCTGAGTTTGGAAAGATATTTTTCTTTTACCCAAACACAATACACCCAAATTAAAATTCATCACAATAAAAATTTTAGTGGTTTTTAGATTCTTAATTTTCTGAAAACATGTCTTCACTCTCTTAGTAATCTATATCACATTCTCTTATTTATCTCACACAAGACATTGGAAACATGTGAAATGTGCATATATTGAAAGTTAGTGAAACATTACTATTTTCTTTAATAACTTCTTAAGTTATCTGAGTTAGTGTCTGAATCCATTTTGTGCTGCTATAACAATATCACAGACTGGTAATTTATAATGAACAGAAATTCACTGGCTCATAATTTTGGAAGCTGAGAAGTCCAAAATCAAGAGATTTGCATCTAGTCAAATTATATTATTACACTGTGTGCATGTATGAACATGTAACAATTCCCATCATTATGTACAACCATAGTGCACTAATAAAAAATGTGGGGAAAAAAAAAAGAGAGATTCGCATTCAGTGAGTGCCTTCTTGATGTGTCATCCCAATACAGAAGAGCAAAGAGAGAGCAAGTAAGAGGACTCAACTCACCTTTTAAAATTAACTCAGTTCTGCAATGACAAATTCACTCCCACAGTAATAGTATTGAACTATTCATGAGGGCAGAGTCCTTGTATCCTAATCATCTTTCATTAGGCCCCACAACCAACTAATGTGGTGTTGGGGAGTAAGCTTGCAACATAAGCTTTCTGAGGGACAATCAAATCATAGCGGTAAGCCAAAAATCCCATTGATGTTCCTCTCAAATAATAAAAGGGAACACTTTAACTTTTCTTAAAAGCGCAATTCTCTTGTAAATATCTTAATTTGTTCATCATTAATACCCATTAATCACCTTCAAAAAACCATTCCCATTTTACCCTTAAAATTTTGGGGCATTTTGTGGCATTATTATGCATCTTTAAACATAACTTCATAAGAGAAAAAAACAAAAAGGCTCATCAGAGAAAAAAACAAAAAGGTTCATCTACATTTAAAACTTCTATAAAAAAGATTTTCACTCAAGCAGAACTATCACATGCCAGTATCATTCACATCAGTTGATGTGACTGTTTACTACCTTCAAAGCACATGAATATGCCTTTTCTCCAACATTAATGGACTTAGGATCATCATCATCCAAGTCTTCCCAAATTCTCACATCACCGTCACTTCCACAAGTCACAATACAACTGTAAAGGAAACACATAGTAAAAAGTCACCCAGTTTCAGGCATATTAATTTTTTTTAATGGTACCTTTCTATGTAATTTAAATAAAATTAAGGTATTAGCCAATATTTCCCCCCATTTTATACAAACAAACCTCAATAATAAACATTGATAACTTCCCATTCTATAAAAGGAAGGTGAGTTTAATATTCTCCACAGTTCTTCCTTGGCATAAAATTATTCCTTTTGCCATAACATTAAAAAAAAAAAAAAAAAAAAAAAGATGAGTGTACAATCTCTGCAACAACAGGGACCATTTATCTTGTTCATTATTGTATCTCCAGCACCAAGCAGTCTCTGACACAAAGAATCTTTAATAATAAATGTTTACTGAATGAATAAATGGATTAATATATGAGTTGTTATCCAAAGGTGATTATCCCAATGGCTAACTGTATCTTGTTTTTTGTTTGTCTTTGCAGTGCTGGAAATGGAATTTGAGGTTTTACACATGCTAGGCAAGCACTACACAGCTGAAGTACACCCCTGCCTCATAAGTCATTTTAAATCTCTAATCTTCCCAGTGCTTTTATTTTTCCAATGTATGTCCTACCTGGAAATACAAAAAGTAAACAAAATTAAAGTAGATATAATTTTGATTATAAAATTAATATGTGGCAAAAAAAGAAGCCATATAAAAAACTGCAAATTTCAGAAGATCAATTCCTACAGAAAAATGGTGTTGAGGAGTCTAATATCACGTGATTTAGGCAAGTAATAAATTTTCTGTTCTTTTTCCCAGAGAGAGAGACAGAGAAGAGGCAATTATATTGGAAAGTCAAAAGGACAAGTAGGTTACCCAAAAGGGAGTGCTCCTGTATATCCTGTCTGCCCCTTATTTTTTACTCAATGAAACAACCTGGAAAACACTCCACATATGCAAAAATCTTAACTTTCAATGGTGTAGATAGACCAAAGTTGGAACTAATCAAATGATGGACATTCAGGCTATTTCTGAACTTCATTTCTTAACAATATTCCTGTATTGAATAGCTCTGGGAATCTATTTTATATTCTTGCAAATGTACATTCAATGTTCAGTCCTGCAAGAAATATTGCTTTATCAATGGCTATTTTTTTCATAATTTCAAATAATAAAGCCCAACTCACTGGGGGAAAAAAAAAAGGAGGATGTTAAACCAAAAAGAAGTGCGGACTACTGAATTTGGCAAGCTAGCAATATCAAGTGATCTGACAAAATTCACAATGTGAGATGCTGAGAAAATGAAAGAATACGGGCTAGCATCTTTCCAACTCCTTTGGAAATAAGATTTTAATTTTTCTCATGGACTAAAAAGTAAAGTCCTAATATCTACACCTAAAAACGTTCTTTTTCTCCAAGAAGCTTACCTTCCAGTATCATCAAAACAGACGTCTGTGTGTCCTTCGGTATGTCCATATCTCATCGGCTTCTGTGTTGCAGGCATGTTTTCTTTTCCCTACCCGAAAATGTCTTATAACGATGGTCTATTTTCAAGGCGAGGAAAGCGGGGAGTGGGAGGGAGAAAGAAAGGTTAGTCTCCTCCCGAGCACGCTCTCCACAGCCCCGATTCCTCCACCCAAGCGACGCAAGTGGGTGCAGCAGAAGGTCTGTCACACAACAAGCCGGGAAGGGGACACGCTTCTCTGCTGGCGCTAGCAAGGCGGGCGAGGACTCACTGTGGCGATGGAGGCTCCGCGCCTGAACCGAGAAAACCCAGCGCCCGCGCAGACCGGCTTCCCGCGCTCTGGCGCGCTCCGCACGCTGCGCCTGCGCGGCCCGCCCACGCCCAGCGCAGGTCTCGACCGAGGTCGCTGATGGTGGCGTCAGCTGCGCGCCGGCCGCGAGGCAAAGAACCGGCTGCTGGGGCAGTGAGCGTGGAAAAGAGGGAGCTGAACGCGGAAGTGGTGGCAGCGCCCGGGTAGCCGGCGGAGGCGGTGACCGCGAAGTCTGAGACGGGAACCGGTCGTCGAGGGGAGGGGCACGGGATTGGCAGGAAGGCAACCGCCTGGTAGGATCTACAGGAGGTGCGAGGAGTGGCTGGGCCTTCTTTTTCCACTTGAACGCGCGCTGAGAGCCACGGCTGTGGTGATGGCGGCAATTACTCGGTCAGCCCCAGTTAAGCTGCCCTTTGGGAGGTGAGTGGGGGAAGGGTGGCCGCTGCCGGGCTTTGCAGCCGGGGTCGTGCTCGTTCCTTCCTGGCTGTCCTCCCATGCGACGGATCCAGCCCTTCCTTGGAACACAGTTAGAGCCAGATCTTTGAATTTCTTCTCTAGAAAAGAATAAAGCGAGACCTTGTCGGTCCTTTAATCTTGGCATATTTCGTATCCTCAGCGTGTCACTTCTGTAGAGATGAAGAATTAATACTTAATTTCTTGAGACTCTATCCAGGTATCCCTTTTAAAAAGTATCTTGTGTTTCCCGATTCATATCCCACTAAAGTTCACTGAAGTGTATGTTTAGATCCAAAAGAAGAGTTAAAATTAAACCACCTATTGTTGTAGGCTTCATTTGATCTTGACCATCAAGTTTATGCTTTTCTTGTCTTCACGTTTTCCGTATTGATAGACTGGTCTGTGATGAATATCTTCACAATGACAATCTCTCGTTAGTATTTATCTTTGAGAATTTTTCTGTTTTTTTTTTTTTTTTTTTTGGTACCCACCTTTCAATTTCAGTCAGACCAATTTTTTTGTTTACCTCAGTGAGACGTCTTTTCGTTGCAGAGATTTCCCTCTTTTCCAATATATCTTTTGTGAAAAGTTGAAAGCGCAGTTAGACAAATTGGTGTTCTTGCCTTGGTGGAATCATAAGAGGGGTTGTTTTTAGTACTAGGGCTCCAAATAGGCTTGCTAGACACCGAGGTTTGTGTATGAATGAAAAGGATGAGTGATTGGCTCAAATACAACTTGGGATTTTCATTCATTTTTTAGGTAGACTGATTCATAATTTTTTGTCCAAGTAATTTAATATCATTGGATAGATTGGATGGTTCAAGATGAACTCATAATATTCATCTCTATATTGAATAAATCATGAGATTTCAGAGTAGTACTGTTCAGAGCTCAGCATAAGAAGAATCTGCAAATTGAAACAAGAGTTATAGCTATAAAATGTTTTAAATGGAGTATCTATAAATCTGTCCATTTTTTTGTGCCTTAGCAATCAAGCCATTTGATTCACAGATTAAAGAAAATTCTCCTTTGTAGATTTCACGTGTATGAATGAGATTCAGCTTTAGGATTGAACAATCCAAGGTTTTAATTTTACTCTTGACACATTGTGTGACCTTGAGTATGGTTCTCTTCCCGAATGTCAAATTCCTAGTCTCTGAAATGGAGATGGTACTTAGTAGCACCCAATTAGAGTACATAGGAGATACTAATGGATATATAAAATTCATTATTATTAATGTCTTGTGTTATTAGTGGGATACTTTGGGTGAGTGTGTAGTAGTTTTGTTTAAAGTGGGTTTAAATCATTATCCAGTAAAATGTTTTAAATATTAAAAGATTTGTTCCTGCTTTTGATAGTATGTTTTCATAATTCCATTTGCTTAAGTCAGTGCCTTTAGTGAGTTCATGATTCTTTTGAGGGAAATAGATAACTGAAACAACATATACAAGATGATAGTGCATTTATGAAACCTATGTAAATTAAATACTGTATTAGTAAAATTGTCTGGTAATTTGAGATAATATAGCTGTTTAAAAAGAAACCAATTTAGCTGTGTCACTGATATAGGTGTCAAAATTTTCCAAAGGAATGTGTTCATCCTTATTAACATGCATATCTCATAGGAGTAGGTAACTGAATGAACTGGCTGAAAATTAAGCCAAGGTCAAAAATTCATTTGCCGTGAAGGTTAGTTTGCTATGTTGTCAGGACTTTAGTACCCTTAGGCTTACAGATATTGTTGGTCTCAAGGGCAGTAGGGTGAGAAAACTGATGTATCACCATTCTACCAATGGTAATATTATCTAAATCTTACAATTTATCCAAGAGGATATATTGGTATTGCCTTATGGAAGGAGTTTTAAAAATGCCTTTTCAATAAAATATGTACTCCATGTAAAAATTAGTAATCCTTTGAAAGATAAGACTAGAAGAGAGGATAACCAGAGCTCAGGAGAAGAAAGTATTGAAAAAATAACATTGAAGGCAGATTAGAAGTCTGAAAATTTCTATCTCTGAATGTATCCTGAAAATTACTAACCTACTTATTTTGGTGGTAGATATTATTGCACATGTATAATCTTAGTAAGGTGTAAAATGGTATGATACAGTAAAAGTCACCTTATTCCAAATACCCAATTCTGGCAAAAAAAAAAAAAAACCCACAAACAAACAGTATTTAAATCTCATGTTGACATTACTAGATTGATTTTTACCACTGCAAGACAGATATAATAAATATTTCATAAATGAAAAACTTAAGAGTTGGAAAGATCATGGTTTATTTAAAATCACACACCTAATAGGGGTGGTGGTACATGCCTGTAATTCCAGCATCTAAGGAAGTTGAGGCAGGAAGATTGCAAGTTCAAAGCCAGCCTCAGCAACTTAAAAAAGGCCCTAGCAACTTAAGGAGACCCTTTCTCAAAAATAAAACATAAAAAGGGTTGGGGATGTGGCTCAGCCCCTGGGTTCAATGCCCTGTCAGAGCATAGGTCTTTTATCTAATCCAAGATATTCTACCACAGTCTCTCCAAATAATAGTTATTGCCATAAAACTTAGAATTTAAAAACATCAGGACATAAAAACAAATTTTATTTAAATCTAGAATTCCCTTTTACTAGTTTGTAGGTGAAACTTGTTACTCAACCTTAAATGTAAGTAAGCATATGTAATTGTAAAGTAGTGAAAAGAATAATCTATAATCAGTTAAAAAAACAAAAAACAAAAAACAACTTGCTTGTTATTTCAGTACCACTACTATTAGTACTATTAGTTAGCTTACATGAAACTACAAATTTTGGGTCATTAAAAGCTTGTGATTTTCACCCATGTTATTTTTAAGTAATTTAAAAGTGTAAAACTTTTTTAATGGACTATAATATTAGGAGTAATAGAAAAGGTTTTATGACATTTCAGAAATTCTGGAATCTCCTAAATTCAGATTTTTAAGTATGTTTTTGTTCAGATTTTCTGCCTTATATATAGCCTTTATTTCCTCTCTTTCCTTTTTCCTTGATTTTGGCACTTTTATCATGTCATTTTTAGAAAACTTCTGAGTAATAACATTTTCATTAATCTCAGTATGTTTTTTTCATATGTTTTAATCCTGGCAGTTAAAACATGTCCAGATTTTACAATGAGAAAAGTGAAGCCAAATGAGGCAGAGGTTTTTTGTTTGTTTGTTTGTTTCCCCTTCCTGCTAGGGATTAAACCCAGGGCTTCACACGTGCCAGGCAAATATCTTACCACTAAATATATTCCCAGCGCTAAATGAGATTTTTTTAAAGGAGGTAACATATTTATGAATGGCAAGGTCTGAGTTTACCTACCATTTTACAATTTAGCAACTCATGCTGTTTCATCTGCACTGTGGTGATTTTAAATATGGGATAGTGAATAACTGTAGGTTCTTAATTTTTATGGGTTTTTAATTTTTTTAAATTTCCTTTTTAGACTAAATTGGTCTTATAGAAAGAAAGAGTTCAGGGAAATAGGCCAAAATGTCAGAATTGCTTACTTCCAGGTACTTGAATTATAACCTTTTTTGCACCTTCTCAACTTCTTTCTGAACATTTCTGGGTTTTTTTGTAGATGGAAACAATACCCTTTGTTTTATTTATTTATTTATTTTTATGTGGTGCTGAGGATTAAACCCAGTGCCTCACACATTAAGCAAGTGCTCTCTACCACTGAGCTACAACCCCAGCCCTGAACATTGATTTACTACTTACTGAGTATATGTCATTTTTATAATTAAAAATTACAAATTTTTAAGGGAAAAAATACATCTTTCCAATTTATTCCATAAAATGTTTTAATAGTACAACTTTTATATTCGGCTTTCTAAGATACTATTGTCCTTCTACTTTTAGAAGTCCATGTACTGCCAGCTCTTAGTTTTCTACTTTCTTCATTCCACATTAACCTTGTTTAACAATAGGTTACTAGACATTTCAACTTATTCTTAGTAAGCTCGGGAAACATACATTCGTTTTAATAATTTCCCCAAAATTTGTTCCACAAAAAATGTTTTTGGAGAGTTAAATATAGGAAACCTTGGCATAAACAGGTTTCTTTACTGAAGTACCTCTTAGACCTTTTTGTTAAGTATGTATTGTAATCTTGCAGAGGAGAAGCATTTTCCAAATGTATTTGAAAGGGTACCTCTTTTTCCCCAGAATATGAATTTTTTTTAGTGTCAATCATTAATTATTTGTTTGGTTTTTAAAAATATTTTTTTAGTTGTAGATGGACACAATACCTTTATTTTATTTGTTTATTTTTATATAGTGCTGGGGATCAAACCCAGTGCCTCACATATGCTAGGCAAGCACTCTGCCACTGAGCCACAACCCTGGCCCTTAATTATTTGTTTTTAATGGACAAATAATTATATGTAATTATGTGATACAGTGTGACTTTTTAATTTTTATTTTTTAATTTTATGTTTTTGGTGGTGCTGGGGACTGAACACAGTGGCTCTCTACCACTCAACTACATCCCCAGCTTTTTTTAATTTTTATTTTGAGACAGTGGCTCACTAAGTTGTCCAGACTGGCTTCAAACTTTGTGATCCTCCTGCTGAGCTCAGCCTCTCTAGTAGCTAGAATTCATGTACACCACTGCTCCTGGCTCAATGTGATGTTTTAATCAAAGTATTTTTTAATAGAATGTTTCAGTTAAGCTGATTAGCATATCTTTTACCTCACTGATGTAGTTTTTGTGGTGACAACATTAAAAATTTTAGCAATTTTGAAATATACACTTTTTTTTATTAACTGGTTACCATGCAATGTGAAAAAGCACTGAAACCTACTTCTCTGCAGAATATGTATTAGCATCTTTCAGAAATAGTGTTTACTAGAATAGATTTAGAAACACTGGCATAATCAAACTGTAATTGGGAAAGAAAGTAGAAGAGGTAGAAGGCCAGGCACAGTGGTGCATGCCTGTGATCCC